ATACTGATGTGAAGACTTTGGTTGACACTCTAAGTTCAGGTTAACAACCTGAAGACCCTGTGTAACAATTACCAAGAATCAACCCAGAGTAGCTACTTGATCATGAGTATATTTAGGTTGCCATTAGTTGGTTTGCTTCATTCGTAACTACTCGCCTCTTTCCGTGACCTACAAGAATACGTCTTGCCGGAATGACACGAGTAATTACGAATGGGTTTGCTTTATTCCTGGCCATTAAATAATTCAAAACAAAAACTTTATGAGGGAGTAGTGAGAGAGTGAGTATGGTCTTATACCGCTTTTAGCAATATTCCAGCACTATCACAGTGGTGGACATTAGTGGTGTTCCGATTAATTGAAATAATCGAAGATTGGTCGCAGTGACCAACGACCAAGCAATCGATCACATTTTCTCATAATCGAACATAAACGATTTTGGAACTACTGTTTTAGTCTTTGAAATACATGACAATGGAACATATTGTAGAAGTTGTCAGGGCCTGAAAACGTGTTTAATTCTTAGAAAACTCACTTCACTAACTGAAAAGCCAGGACTGAATATATTTTTTGAAGACTCCCGGGAAGTTTATGTTCATGATATATTAGTCATCACTTTAAAGTAGCAAGTTGCACCATGTTATACATATCTGCAATAACGACCTGGATAGGGAAATCTGAAAAATGCGCTAACCAATTTTTTTCGATGATTGTTTGTTGGTAATGAAGCAATCATCAATTGTGAGATTTCAACCAATTCCCAACACTAGTGGACACCATAAATGGGCTTCACACATGTGGGGAATTGAACCTGGTCTTCAGCATGATGAGTGAACGCTTTAACCACTTGGCTACCCCACCACCACAGCGAGAGGAGATTACAGGGATTAACGAAAAAAAGGATACCTCAGAGTCTGAATCGGGTTTCCATGGTAAAATCCTTCATTGTATTTCAGTGGGTGACAACCATAAGACCAACATTAATTCAATTTGAGCTTGCACACATGTATACAAGTAGGTACCGGTACACTATATAAGTGGAACGATCTTGACCCTAATCTCCCATCAGTTCAAATACTGATCAACAGCAACCTTGGTAAACACTGATGAAAGCTGTCAAAATTTGTTAACTTTGATTTTAATCACTCTATGACTGTATCCCACTTTTCAAGTTCCACACATAAATACAAATAATTGCATGCACTATAAACAAAGTGAATCAATTTTATAAAAAAGCAATAACAAACGTCCATTCATCACACCCAGTTTTGATGAACAAAATATGGAAAACGTACAAAACAAACAAAAGAAAACGTTATATACATGAAACAATCTTACTGGTACACACAATCCACTCATAAAGCAGTTGAAGACAAAGAAAGGGTATAAAGTTGATGGTTTGCATCAAAAGCAGGCATAATGATATTTAATAATGAGTTTTAAAGCCCCAAACTCTATTCATCACATTAATACTTATGCAGCTATATTATTACCACCCCATCCTTGGATAAGTGGACAGATTATCATTCTCAACTCCCTTGGGAGTATACAAACTGGCCCCCATAATCACATGACTTGTACTACCATATAATTATATCACAGTATATTATTGGTCCTAAAACAAATGTCAAACAAAGGGTACATGATGCATGACCATAACCAAACTCCTATTGAATATAACATATGGATCCCACTAAGTGTACATACAAAATACCTCCATCTTGATACTACAGTAATACTTGTGCGTATCATTAAGACACATTAAAGGTAGGACTTCAAAACTGTGAGACAGCCTCCATCAATTATTACATTCCTCTCTGAATACCCCTGAAAATGCTGAAACAGAATTAAGCTGAAACCAGCAGGCATGTGATGGAACCAACCGCTCTCGACTCTGTACATCAGATCTTTCCTCAGATACAATAATCCAAGTAAAAGATGGGAAAGACATTGAATCCTACCTCTCCTCTCAGAAATACCTGTATGTCACAATGGCAACAGCTATGTACAGATTTATCAAAAGAACAATTCTGATTGCTACAACCTGACCATCATTTGACTATTATTATTTGTAATGAAGAGATTTAATTGTTGGATGTCTGACAGCCATACTGTATACAGCTCAACATAAGCTCAACAACACTGGGTGTTTTCATGAGACTACAGTCAGTCCATACTGCCACTGAAGCTGATTAGATACCTTCTGTCAAGACACTGGCTATTAACAAACAGAAAAAGTATTAAAAAATGATTTGGATGATAAATGGAATCTCACCCTTGTCTCTTTTGATATCAGATATTCATAACCAATTGATATAACTCAGACATATTTGGCAAGCCTTGGAGTTCTAAGATTTTATCAACTTGCATCAAAACATTTTATTTCAAAAGATATTTGATGACATTCCCACCTTCTCTTACAAAATATACACAATAATTTGAAGACCAATAGAATGACATGTCAGTGTGTGAGGCCTGTCTGCTTGACACCTGATAACATCCCCATTCAAATGAGTGCGTTGGTTTAACACTGCATTGATATCACTCCATGGAATGAGTGAGTGAGTTGGGTTTAACATTGCACTGATATCAATCCATGGAATGAGTGAGTGAATTGGCTTTAACACAACACTGATATCACTCCATGGAATGAGTGAGTTGGCTTTAACACCACACTGATATCAATCCATGGAATGAGTGAGTTGGCTTTAACACCACACTGATATCACTCCATGGAATGAGTGAGTGAGTTGGCTTTAACACCACACTGATATCACTCCATGGAATGAGTGAGTGAGTTGGCTTCAACACCACACTGATATCACTCCATGGAATGAGTGAGTGAGTTGGCTTTCACAACACTGATATCACTCCATGGAATGAGTGAGTTGCCTTTACACCACACTGATATCACTCCATGGAATGAGTGAGGGAGTTGGCTTTAACACCACAGATATCACTCCATGGAATGAGTGAGTGAGTTGGCTTTAACACCACACTGATATCACTCCATGGAATGAGTGAGTGAGTTGGCTTTAGCACCACACTGATATCACTCCATGGAATGATTGAGTTGCCTTTACACCACACTGATATCACTCCACAGAGACAGCTGCCTTATAGCTAGAATATCACTGGATGGAATGAGTGAGTGAAAAGCTAAACTCACTGATATCACTCCATGGAATGAGTGAGTGAGTTGGCTTTAACACCACACTGATATCACTCCATGGAATGAGTGAGTTGGGTTCAACACCACACTGATATCACTCCATGGAATGAGTGAGTTGGGCTTTAACACCACACTGATATCACTCCATGGAATGAGTGAGTGAGGAGGCTTTTAACACCACACTGATATCACTCCCATGGAATGAGTGAGTTGGGTTCACTGATACAACAACATGCATTGGAATCCTCCATGGAATCATTGTTCAAAACTATCACTCCATGGAATGAGTGAGTTGGGTTCAAAACTACATTGGTATCACTCCATGGAATGAGTGAGTTGGGTTCAAAACTACATTGGTATCACTCCATGGAATGAGTGAGTTGGGTTCAAAACTACATTGGTATCACTCCATGGAATGAGTGAGTTGGGTTCAAAACTACATTGGTATCACTCCATGGAATGAGTGAGTTGGGTTCAAAACTACATTGGTATCACTCCATGGAATGTGAGTTGGGTTCAAAACTACATTGGTATCACTCCATGGAATGAGTGAGTTGGGTTCAAAACTACATGGAATGAGTATCAAACTACATTGGTATCCATGGAATGAGCGAGTTGGGTTCAAAACTACATTGGTATCACTCCATGGAAGTTGGGCGGTGAGCTGGGACTAACATGAGCTTGGTTCGCAGTCGATATGCCGAAGGGGAGCACCCTGAATTGGTAATACATCCCGGCCGTGAAGAGAACCTGCAAGAGACGAATCGATTGACGGTTAACCGGGCCAAATAAATGGCGAGATCACCGAAATGAGGTTCCATCTTGAAGGATGGTAATTTCGAGCATGCCATCTTCAACCCCTTGAGGTTGAGAATCGACGGAACCTACCGCCTTCTGGACGGTAATGGAGTAAAAATCCCGCCTGTTCCTTCCTCTCCGGAACGCGCCGACGGGCGGACTTGTCCAGCAGAGCCTGAACTGCAATATGTCCGGCCTCTGGCTTGGCATGACGGCACCGGAGGCGCCTGAAGTCGGGCGGACTCGCCCACAGTGAGACTGCGCCCAGATCCTCCGCAGGAGTCCACGAGCTAAAAGCTTGTTGTATGGACGATCTCAAATCACGCTCGCCACTACAGAGATCGTCACGCCTTTCATGGCCCAGTAGACGTGGAGCCAAGTCCGCGTTGGTGCCTGGGGCTGGGAGAGTGAAATGAACATTACCATCTCCCTAAACTCGTCGGGCTTAAGGAAATCCAGATCCTTGTTCGTTTGAATCGGGCCCAAGAAACCAAGTCCGGGTGGGTACTCAGGTCGGATTTCTTGAGGTTGATGATCCACCCCAGCCGGAAGTTAGAATGTCTATCACTGTGTGAGTAGCATCTTGACTCGCTGGCTGTGTTAGTGCTCCGAAAGCAACCAGTCGCCTAGGTAAGGGTAACAACGCCTTCCTTGGCGAAATGAAGCTAGGTGAAGGACTCAACATGAGCTGGCAAAACGATGGCGCCGGCGAGCACCCTGGATTGGTAATACATCCCGGCCGTAAGAACCCTAGAGGTACTGCTTGAACGAGGGATATGGGTACATGGTGAGATAGCATCCAGCAGAGCCTGAACTGTCAAGCTGCATATGTCCGCTTCTGGCTTGGCATGACGGCACCGAGGCCAGATGCCGGGCAGCTCGCACCTCGCCTACAGTGGGAGATGGCTCATGCTGAGTGAGTTGGGTTCAAAACTACATTGGTATCACTCCATGGAATGAGTGAGTTGGGTTCAAAACTACATTGGTATCACTCCATGGAATGAGTGAGTTGGGTTCAAAACTACATTGGTATCACTCCATGGAATGAGTGAGTTGGGTTCAAAACTACATTGGTATCACTCCATGGAATGAGTGAGTTGGGTTCAAAACAACATTGGTATCACTCCATGGAATGAGTGAGTTGGGTTCAAAACAACATTGGTATCACTCCATGGAATGAGCAAGTTGGGTTCAAAACAACATTGGTATCACTCCATGGAATGAGTGTGACATGAATGTGAGAAACATAGACGAGGCAGGTACCTCAGATCATCAAGTCCATGTTGTGATATACAACTAAACCTCCAATCAATGTGACCAAACAAGCAGCAGTTATGAAAACACAAACATAGGATGTCCACCACTTTACCGGTTTGGGAAACATCTTAATTCATCAAAGATAAGCTACATTTCCTTTCCAGTTCTATGAGTTATTCTGGCTCATTTATGGCTGAAATGTGACAGCTATCAAAGATCAAAGAAACAATAACATCTATAATATTTGGTACTGTGTATCATTTGTATCATTAGGTATTTGTATCCATAGTCAGGGCTCTACATGTAAACAAAGCAACATCATTAAGGATATGTAGCATCTGTGGGTTACCATATCAAATGGACATATTTCTTCTTCAAGATGGTGATATAAAGACAAAGCCCACATGTATATTACATAAAATGACAGTCATCAAAACATCATTTTGATATCAGATACTCAACAAGCTTTGAATATGCAAACTCTGATCCTGACTTTAAATATTGTTTGGAATCCTTGGTAAGGGCCACTTAAAGATAGTGCCCAGCCCTGTTCGATGTCATACAAACAGCTGGTAGATCATGGTAGATATGTTTCTTGGTATCTTCTAACCAAGTGCTGTCCATGAGCTGTGAATGCATCATTTCCTCACAATATTTGATGGGAAGTATAGAAACATACAGTCTCCTCGCTGAGGCTCATCAGTCCGAGATCCCCTGCTACAAAATGTCTGTCATATTTGGAAGATGTTCTACGTCATATTTTCGCTCCCCGAGGAGCAGGTGGTAAAATCCTGGCTTCAGCTTCTCAGCTGTTGCTATAACTATTCTGAAATCACCCTCCAGGGCTAGGTTAAAGTCAGTTTTTATCTTCTTCAGTCCTCTTGGATGGACTGACCCTCTGTTACTGAAAGGGAAAATTCTGGAATTACAGAGAAAAGTACACAGTAAGGAGCAGGAAACACAGCAGGTCTTCCTATAAAATAATTGAATCATAAATAAAGGCAATACTGTATCAAGGTATAATTTAAGTTACTTATTTTATTGTTATCTGTTTAATTTTTTTTTTTTTTTTCCCTTTTTTAATTTATTCTCTATATATCTTTTTATTTATTTTTTTTGTTTATTTAGTTATTATGTCCTGTACAACACATATACATCATTACTTACATCATGCATACCTCATGTATTATCTCTACAGGAATAAAAATATTTTATAAATATATATGTATAAAATAAATAAACACTTGGGGTGAAACGATGCGAGAAGGTCATGATACAATACCTTCTGCAATACACATAATTAGGTCAAATCAGGTGGAAATTTCTACTATAAATATTTCAGAGCAGGTTCGAAGGAAATGCTTGGTGTACATTCATGCTTGCTGCAGCTATTTCCATTAGTAAATTTGAAAAATTGATTTCAGTTCATTTTGGGATGTTTGACTGACAAAATATGGTATGGCGAGTGCACTTTGCACTTTGCAAAATTATACTGACATGACCATTTTACTGTTAAGCACAACCTCCTCTCTATATCAAAGTATGGTTGCAATATTCAACACATATCAGGCAAATACATATACTCACGTCTCAGTTTCCACGTATCTGATAAGGCTCAGAGCCTTTCGCTGCAACAGCCTCATGAACTGGGCTATGTGAGCCTCCCTCACTCCACACACAGCAGGCAGCTTAGAGATCTGCAACAGAGGCAGTATAATCTGAACAAAAGTGCTTTGAAGCCCCCATGAACAATACAATCAGACCACTGTATTTAAAATTTGGGTTAATCAAATTCCCACTTGCCTCTACTCAACTTATGGTCACAACTAATCCTTTCTAACTTTATCATCATGTACCGGTAAAATCGGATGTGTCTTACTTGATGTGGAATTCAACTGACCTCATTGCAGTTGATACATCAAAGGCAGGATATCTCCAAACAACATGTTAATATCTAATCGAAAACACAATGTTACATTTGACTACTTTCTAAATGGCATTGTGTATTCATAGCTTTCGGCCGTGGGAGCCAGGCCAATTTACACTTATTAGAGGGGTACACAAAGTCCGCAGTCTAGACTAACAGTTGTCCGACTTCCATTTTTGTGGAAGCCGCGGTGGCTGAGCAGTGTAGAGTTTGTGTGATGCTGATTAGGTGCCTGACTCTGAGGGTGTGGGTTTGAATCCTGGATGGGACTCAACCCAACAAAAGTACTAGAATCTGTACTTTACTGAGAAAGTGTAATCCCAAATATTACGTTTTCAGCTGAAAATAGATTTTCCTGTTGCCATCCCTGTATATTGCTTTTCAGAATAGTCAATTTATCTAAGGCATTGCAATGGTAGTGAAGTGGGGAAGGGAAACTGATACACATCATCACGCAACTGTATTGGGGTCCGTGTTTGAGCCATATTTCAAACAATAGATTCATGAATGTAATGTTCCTTTGTTTTACTCACTTCTCAATTTCACATTTCAGAGGCACATGAGAGCACCTTCGTGCTGATATGTTTATAGCAATCAGATTGCACCATTCATGTTAAGAGTACTTTGAATACACAATGCCAAATACCATTTTAGAAAGTGGCCAAATGTAACATGTTATATTGTGTAATCGAGTTGAGGGTTTCTCAATGGATTTAGACGATTCACAATTGAACAATTTGAAAAAAAATTAGCGGCAATCCGTGGATCAGCGGAAAACTGCCATCCCTCCCAGAATATAACTGTTTTTTTACATCAAGTAATATTGAAAATCTCACCTCATTTAGGAGATTTTGAACAAGGGACTCCCGGATAGTCTGCTGTTTGTAGAACACTGGTAAACACAAAGATCATCATCATTGTTTACCTACATCATCCTTATTATTGTCCAGAACATCTACCAACATAGAAGCTGAGAATATCATCAGTTTAATCAAATCAATCCTATAATTACAATGTAGTTTTGACCTGACTGATAACTTCGGCAAATAACATGAAATATCAGGTAGAATATTGTTAAAGGTAAGCTCTGGAGTGAGTGACTTACCCTGCATTGAAGTCTTGAGCATTGGAATGTTCATAATGAAGGCAGATAAGCTCATTCTTTATTGTCTCATAGTGTCGGATGATGTGTTCCTGGCAGTGTGGGGACTGCTTGACGTCCCGGTTCTGGACGTCAATGATGCTAGACGGGTACTGGCCACACAGCATCTCCCTCATTGGTAGATTGAATGAGCCGTTTGCAGACTGAAGCATAAAGTGAATGAGTGAGTATAGTTTTACGTCGCACCAGCAATATTCCAGCTATATGACGGCGGTCTGTAAATAATTGAGTCTTGACCAGACAATCCAGTGATCAACACCATGAGCATCGATCTGCTCCATTGGGAACCGATGACATGTGTCAACCAAGCCAGCAAGCCTGACCACCCGATCCCTTTAGTCGCCTCTTACGACAAGCATGGGTTCTAACCCGGACCTTCACGGGTCTGAAGCATAAAGCAATTTAGGAGTGACACCACACATTATATTTCTCTGTTTGCAGGTCAAAACGTTTAAAATGTAACAGCAAAACAAAAATATTTCATTACTGACGTATTTAACAAAGTCATGAGGACAGAACGAAGGGAGATAACTCATTCCTCTACCTTGAGACTACCCTGCAGTGCCAGGTCGTGATGGTAAGCCCAGAGAATGGGGTAGATGACCCGCCGTGACACAGCTCTCTCACACTCGCTGTTGAACATGGACAAGGTGTGAATGACCTGGAACACGAACACAGAAAAACATTGTTAACTCAAAGTGGGTAGTCTAAACAGTAAGTTTGTTGTTATCCTCCTTAGTATGCAAAATTCCAGTGATCAGGTTAATGCCAGGACAACCAGTGGTTACTGTATGAACTATGCCATGTGTACAATGACACACAGACAGAACCAAATGTGCCAGGTTAACTCAGGCAACATACATATACTCACCAGAGTTAACTCAGGCAACATATATATACTCACCAGGTTAACCCAGGCAACATACATATACTCACCAGGTTAACTCAGGCAACATACATATACTCACCAGGTTAACTCAGGCAACATACATATACTCACCAGGTTAACCCAGGCAACATACATATACTCACCAGGTTAACCCAGGCAACATACATATACTCACCAGGTTAACTCAGGCAACATACATATACTCACCAGGTTAACTCAGGCAACATACATATACTCACCAGGTTAACTCAGGCAACATACATATGCTCACCAGGTTAACTCAGGCAACATACATATACTCACCAGGTTAACTCAGGCAACATACATATACTCATCAGGTTAACTCAGGCAACATACATATACTCACCAAGTTAACTCTCACAACAAACATATACTCACCAGGTTAACTCTCACAACATACATATACTCACCAGGTTAACCCAGGCAACATACATATACTCACCAGGTTAACCCAGGCAACATACATATACTCACCAGGTTAACTCAGGCAACATACATATGCTCACCAGGTTAACTCAGGCAACATACATATACTCACCAGGTTAACTCAGGCAACATACATATACTCACCAGGTTAACTCAGGCAACATACATATACTCATCAGGATAACTCAGGCAACATACATATACTCACCAGGTTAACTCTCACAACAAACATATACTCACCAGGTTAACTCAGGCAACATACATATGCTCACCAGGTTAACTCTCTCAGGCAACATACATATACTCACCAGGTTAACTCTCTCAGGCAACTTGCCTATGACTAGACTCCGACCAAAGGTCATAAGATGGGACGCAATAGCTTGACGTAGGAATGTTTGCTCCAGGTTATGGGAGGGAGAAAATGCTGTATCTAGGAGCTGAAATTCAAACCATTCAATCTGAGCCGTGGACAACATGGAAAGTCTACGTCTCACTCAAATCTTCAATATTTACACTTTTAGCACCATATAACATGAAACATTGATTAAGGCATACAAGGGAACAGAGCAAATTTTGAAAAGGTGATTGAGCTAGATTTAACAGGTACAACTATGTGAACAAGGTGAAGGTCAATGCAGGGTCATCAACTACTACACAAAGTTCCTGGCATTCAAGTAGGTACCCCTGCCACAGACCAGCATATGTGACGATTCGTCAGATCTTACACAGTCCATTCAAACTATTGCACATGGCTTTTATTTATTTCATTTTAGAAAAGTCTCCACATTTATATAAACATATGTCACTGAACTAGGTATTTTCCATAACAAGGAAGGTGGGGTAGCCTAGTGGTTAAAGCGTCCGCTTATCACACCAAAGACCTAAGTTCGATACCCCACATGGGTACAATGTGTCCATTTCTGGTTTCCCCGCTGTGATATTGCTGGAATATTAGCTAAAAGCGGCGTAACACTAAACTCAGTCAGTCAGTCTATAACAAACCTGGACAGTTGCGGGCAACCCAAATTCTTGAAGTGACGACAACATCTCCAGACAGTTTTGAAGCCACTCTGTCAATTCATTTAGTCCATTTTCACACTGGTTCTGTTGGACAAATAACCATAATAACAAGTACAGACCATAAACTCAGCATAGACATTATGCATAACATACAGAAAAATCAGGGATAGAAATACTTTTTTTTCTAAGTGTGCCTTAGGGCACCAGACAAACATTTTAGATGTGCCTTTTAGAAATCAAGTGTGCCCATATGTTTTTAGAATAAATGACTGTAGCAGTGATGATGATCTTTTGAAATTTATTGTTAGTAAACAACAAATGTAACCTGTTTTCTGTTTTCACTGATATATCTTCTGTTTAAGATGGCTTTCTTCAGCTTCATTTGTTCTGCTTCCCCCCAACACCTTTAATAGCTTAGAATTTTGTGACAGGTTCACTTGTTCAATATATCTAGCATGCACAATTTCCTGTTCAATAACCAAATTTTCAGTACTCCCTACACTCTAAATGGAATAACAACCACATTTCTTTACATCATCCATCATAATTCCAGTGATTTCCTGGGCGATAAAGTCAATAAATGTATTTACTTGTTTGTCATTTGGCGTAAGTGTTTTGTTTGGGGGATTACATTACTAAAGGTGAGTTATGTCCCTAAAAAATTAGGTGTGCCATAAGGGCACCGAGAATATTTTTATCCGTGCCATTTCAAAATTTACTGTGCCATGGAAAGCTAAAACATGGGGTATTTCAAACCCTGAAAATGTATTTGGTTATGATTAGCTGGCACGAAAGTATGTTAGGAAATGTTGGTTATCTTTCTCAGGAACATGTGCACAATAGTGAACTGCAGAGTTGCCTCTCCTGAATCAAGGCAACTGTCAACAGAAGGAAGTGCGGACAGGAATTATTTCTCATTGCACCTTGTAATTTCAGTCAGGAAAACAGATAGAGTGAAACATAAAGGTGAAGAAAATCTTCAAATCTATTGAAAGTTTATTAAGGATGACAGACATGGGAAAATTATCTTAAACAATCAACTGCCCGGTCTACGTATATGTACTGTAACTAATATGACAGTTTTAACTGATAGCTTGTCTCTCTGTTGTTACGTTAATCATAAACCAAGTTAACTGTAACATAGTTTAATCTTGTGTTATCAGGCATAGTGCAGGGGTCCAGATAAGGGCTTTATCGGCGCATGTACGGATAAAAAATATGCACGATACGGTAGGAAATAATTTAGAAAATGTAGCAGATAAGCACCACAGCAATGGTGTACGGTCTTAGAATCATATACAGACGTATTTATCTGAACAAGAATTGTTTTATTGTTTATTGACCTGTTTACACAAGAGTAGCGATGTTGTGGTGCATATATGAAACACACGATTACTGATACTCCATTAAATTCCATTCAGTACTCTAAATGTTTTTAAGGTTTTCCAGTATTCCCGTATTGAAAAAATAAGGAGTACGTACTCCTGATGTCGAAAAATTATCTGGAGCCCTGATAGAGGATTGGAACATGTTGTATGAGTAAATCATTCAGGCTAGCAACGGAAAATGTTGACTTGAATATCACATGTTCAGAAAACAATATAACAAAATAAATATGAGTATATGCGACACAAGCTCGAAATGAACATGCTGCAGACTGATGTAATGCTTTTACTTAACTCAGCTGTCTACCCAAGTTGCCAAGGTAACACCTCTTGCCATACATTTCCCATACTTGAATTCATGTAAATTACAACATGCATACAATATCTTACCTTGTTCAGAAACATCCTAAACTTGCCAATGAGTCTTGTCATCCAGCACTGTATAAGTCCATGATGTTTTAAGTATATACTAAGTTCAGAGTTCGGAACAACAAATGCTATGGCGTGCATCCCCAAGCCATGATCTGTCTGGGCAGAGAATATGAAAGCTGGCACAACAATAGACTTGTCTGGCATATCATAGAACTTATAGTCTATCTGACTACAGGAGACATCTCGGCAGATTTCGCCGCTCAAAACCTGTGAGCATATATGGCGTAGCGTGCTGTTATGTGGTTTGGAGCATCCATCAACATACCACACATGCTCAAGGCGTGGACCAAGAATATTGTCCCAGTGGCAAAGCAGTATCGCATCTATGTAACTCTGAGATATCTTGACAACCTTTGATGTAGAGAAAGCTGAACTGGGACTCAGTGGAGTTGTTGGAAGTTCAAAATCGCCACTCAGTTCAATATCTGTAGACAACGGTACCTGCACAACTCCAGAACTCATGTTGCTTCCAGTCAACTTTAATTTGGGGGGACCTTTCCCTGTTGCCATGATTCAAAGACTCTAATGTCACTCTAAAGGAATCAAATTTTCTGGCACAGAAGAAAATGTTCACAGGCACAAATGACATTAAGTAGTGACATCATGCAGTTCAGTCATATGAAGGAAAGGCTTCAATAACTTGATTAGGATCATACGCCATCTCATGTAGGGAACTTTTTTCTTTGGATGAATATGCGACTAATATGTGCCATCATAGCAAAACCTTAATTTCCATATTCATTTGCATGGTATGCACAAGGAAATTGGCAACAACTAAATCTATCAGGATGAAGCAGGTGGCCATTATCGCAATTGACGTCAACAGATCATCATCAGTGGAGGACGTGTGTGTGAGGACAATCATGAAGAGGACAAAGGTGAGGACCACCACAGAGAAGAATGCATAGTTGATGCACAGAAAAACAAGAGCCTCCCTGTTGACTACTTGTGAACCCCAGTCTTCCCTCATTGGAAAAGTTGAAAGTTTCTTCAGGATGTGTTTGAGGCTCATCAGTCCCTAGCAGCACTAACTTAGCATGCTGTGATGGATCAAATATCTTGAAGCACTTCCAGATACAAGTGCTGTTAAGAGTTGTACATCATTTCACCTTGTGATGACTCTAACGTCTAGTCTAAGGGAGTTGTATCTTGTCAGAGCTTTATTCGACTGCAAATAGATACAACATGGTCATTTATTTATTATTCAGCAAACATTTTAGTGGCATAAATTCAATGTCTTCTCTGAATTTCTAAATATCACTATATCATTAATTTTCCTCCTTAAAGCTTAAAAGATGGGTTTGTTAAATGTATAATTATAAGTGTGATGTAGTTTACAGCATCTACACTGTATAGACACAGCATGAAAAGTGGGTACCAGTTAATGGCAAGACTGCAGCTTAGATCTGTAATTGGTACCAGGAGCAGCTTTTATTCAAGATTATGTTCCTTCCTTCAGGATTATGTTAAGTTAACCCCCAACTCCATCCTTTTGGATCTTCTTTACAACCATTTTCTGATCGTACTACCATTTCAATCATTATGGTCAGCTACCTCACTTCTTTTAACAAATTAACCTGATGACATTTTAAGGAAAATCTGTACAATTTCTATTATACTTCAAGTACCACCTGACAAAAAATAGCTCCTTAGCAAACACATAAAAAAACACAATCACAGTTGATCACTTGGTAAACAAGCACCTTGTGATAGTGCTGGGTTGTAAAGCATTGGTTAAGTAACCTACAGTAACTCATTTGCCTAGCTAAAGTTGCAGTTGGCAACACAAGTTCTACCTTGTGCATAGCACAAACTGAAATAAAAAAGGGAACCAAGTAAAGAGCAGTGGACCCTAATTCTTTTCTGACAAATGAAGAGGTTAAGATTCAAACAATAATTATCCATCATGTTGTGTTTCATGATATCTGGTTTCCTGCCAAATTATCATCAGATTATACATTATGGACATGTTTGAACAGTAATCATGGTAATTTTAATCACATTTTCTCTTTCACACAGTATAAAAGGGGTTTTGCGGCACACAGACATTGTAAATACTCGGATCATGGCCTAAAATTAAGATAAAGTTTCTTTAATAAGTAAGTGAGATGTTTTACTGTAGTTAATATGAATAGCAAGAAAACAATGAAGGTTTCTTAGGCATCCGAAAACCTGTAACATGAGAATAGGAACTGCAGCTAAGGGATGTCCACGTCAAGTTAAGCTCACTGTTTATGACTTCTAATCAATGTTTGGTCAATATTATATTGTTTCACATACATCGCTTACAAATGTCCGATTTCAAACACAAATAAATATCTAGATATATCCATGCCAAACCCTGTCTCTGGTGCATACAATTAGTTTTGTAGGATACTACGATGTAGTTAGTATTTACACTTCCTCGTGTCTCTTCAACAGGCAGATTTGCCTAGTGATAACTTCCTGGGATACTCCACAGAGTGATAAAATATTACGTCATTTACCTTGCACATGCACGAGAGAGCGTCTTCCAGTGTCTGCACAATATGGCACGAAACTAGCACCACAACGTACAGAACATTCAATTAACCTGGTACGTGCAGACTGGAGACAGTTCCCGTTGCAGACACCCTCTGAATCTTACCGGAAGTAACTCTCTCTAAACGAAAACAAATTTTAGCTGTGATTCGGACTAGCCCGGGTTAAAACCGAGACTGCACTACAATTCGAAATGCTAGTGAATCTAATATTAGATTCATGCCGTATGCTTAAAAATAATAATGATAATAACTTTTAGAATGCTGTGATATATGTTTATCGAATGGGTATTTTTGTATTTGCTCTATTCTGAAAAAAAGCTTTAAAAGGATAAAATAAACAAAAAATACAAGATATGCTGCATGCTCAATCGCAGGTAAACTCTAACAAAGCCCATACCCAGTTTATTTTTGGTATTTTATACAAATGTTGGATAGCTGGCACCTAATCGCACCTAATTAACTGTCTGAATCGCAATGAAAAGGCGAAATGGCACAGTCATCCTCTAAAATATAATGCAAGGAATGCAGAGCGATATCAGCGATAGCAGACAGCACCACTTATGTGGAACAGGTAAAACTTTGATATACAGGTGTCATAATTATTGATGACTCAGGCGTATATATTGACCACAGTTTTACAATACTGTGTACATGTATAATAACTGAATCATCTTGTATATGGTTAGTCTAATTATATTTCAGACATTGACACCAAGATAGACTTTTCAGGTTCAGAGAACAAATACCTGTGCAGAGTGAGTGAGTTAGTTTAGTTTTACACCGCAGTCATCAATATTCCAGCTATATGGCGACATTGACACCAAGATAGACTATTCGGGTTCAGAGAACAAATACCTGTGCAGAGTGAGTAAGTTAGTTTAGTTTTACACCGCAGTCAGCAATATTCCAGCGATATGGCGGCGGTCTGTAAGTATTCGAGTCTGTACCAGAGAATCCAGTGATCAACAGCATGAGCATCGATCTACGCAATTGGGAACTGATGACATGCGTCAAACAAGTCAGCGAGCCTGACCACCCGATGCCGTTAGTCGCCCCTGGCGACAATCATGGGTTACTGAAGATCAATTCTAACACAGACCTTCACAGGTAAAAGCAGTTGAGGATAAATGAAGGGTGTAAAGTTGGTGGTTTGCATCAAGAGCAGGCATAATAATGAGTATTTAAAGTCCCAAACTCTATTCACCACATTAATACTTATGCAGCTATATTATTACCACCCACTCCATCCTTGGATAAGTGGACAGAATATCATTCTCATTTGATTGATGTGTGGAGTGATGATGTCTGTAGTGAACTTTAATGATATGTCAATTATGAACATTTGAACCACTTATGAATATTTTATAACATATAAACATCTAAATGTATGGGTGAGTGAGTATGTTTTTTACGCCGCTTTTAGCAATATTCCAGCAATATTACGGCGGGGGATACCAGAAATGGGCTTCACATATTGTACCCATGTGGGGAATCGAACCTGGGTCTTCGGCGTGACGAGCCAACGCTTTAACCATTAGTCTACCCACCGCACCCTTGACTGTATGATGATCACAATATATATCATTACTATTATTACTACATATTGATACAAATATAATGAAACATATAAAATATATATTAGTTAGTTTGTATGTTCTTATTTGAATTTGATTTATGGGCCTTTTGACATAAATCTATGGTCCTTTTTTGACTTTCCTTTGGCCCGATCGACTTTTCTTTTGTCCTTCTGACTTATTCAATTTTGCCCTTTTGACTAGGTACCTTTGACTATGTACAACCCACGACAAGCATGGGTTACTGAAGATCGGTTCTAACCCGGATTTTCACGGGTCAATACAGAGGAAGTCATTCACCAACCACAATGCTTGCTTGCTTGGGTGCGTGCGCGAGTGAGTGAGTGAATGGGTGGGAGAGTGCGTGCGTGCGTGCGTGCGTGCGTGAGTGAGTGAGTGGGTGGGTGGATGTGTGGTTGGGATTTGGGTGGGTGAGTGAGTGAGTGAGTTTTATCATGAATGAATGTTTTGAAATGTACAATGAAGTTAGGGTATGTTATAAATAGAAAGTATACAAAATGTTTAAATTGTTTTGGAAATGTATAGTGAATGATTTTTTGAAATGAACGATGTTGGAAATGTATAATGAAGCTCCCGGATGTTATGAATAGAAAGTACACAAAATGTATAAATTATTGAAATGGTGCTAGGGATAAATTGCAATCTATGAACGTGTTTGTCAGAATATGAAACGTTTAGTGATGATACATTGTTACGGATCCTCAATATTTGGGTACAGGTTACCTACTTTAATACGAGGCAACGAAATAAAGCATATAAGAGCTCCAAACAGGTTCGAATCTGACGGAAATTTTAGGGACCGGTTAGCCATTTTCGTTTGGTCTTGATTTGGGTTAGTATCTTCATATACAAATGACATTGGCGGATCGGGGGAGGGTGTGTGTGTTTGTTCAGGGGGGTTCGACCCCACCCCACCCCACCTCCTTTGAAAATGACTAAAATCCACATTGAAGTCAATGTTTTGCGCCTATGATATGTATATACAATTAACTTTATATCTCAGTGTCACAGAGCTATCTTATTTGATAAAAAAAGAATAGTTCCTCTAATACCAAACCACGGGATAATTATGCTAAATTGTTGTTGCATGTCTGTAGCGACCAGAACTGGCATGTTTACCTGTTTGCCTTTCGTATTTCGTTTTAGCGGTTTGTATTTTTTGAAAATATTTAATAAAGTTGTCCTGATTTTAGAGGAACCGGGAACATTCGACGTCGGTGGATCAGAAATTTATAGCAGATGGAAAGTGATGTATGTCAGTACTGACAGAATATTCGACTTTATTGCACATGTTTGATTAAATCTTTTTATTTGAACAACGTTAAGGTGATTTTCATGTCTATGGTTGATTATAAGCCGAGTAACGTGCAAATCTAGATGATAGATCATGAATGACGAATTCTTCAGATCTCGAATAAACCAAATTGGGCTTGAAGTTGGGACGAACATCTATAAGAATAATTGTTCCTTAATCTGCTTGTTACAATCGAGAAAAGTATTCGTTGTGGCTACCCCTGAACACATACTGATGAAGGTTTGATGCAAGCTCAAAAACGACCCATCCGCTAATCGTGGCTAGATCTATATGCCCGCCGAAATCTGTTGCGGAGGAGTCGTTTTGAGCTTGCCAAGTTATATACATTCATTCAAAGTCTGCATTGTTATTTATCACAGGTAACACAAAATCTAGAAATACTGTAAATAAAACTATAAAAACAACACCACAAATAGTTTTGTTTATCATAAACCGGAGGGACTTTTCAAACCTCAATAGGGTAGATCCTAGCCTTTCTCATAAAAATTAAAAAACCATTAACTCCAATTTAAATACATGTGGAATGTACACTATTGTTTTTAGCGTTTCTGCATCCATAAACAAATAAGATACTGACGTCAGTTATGACACCATTGCCCTGTCACCTCTTTGACCATTGGGGCAGTGGGGTAGCCTAATGGTAAAGCGTTGGCTCGTCACCCTGAAGACCCGGGTTCGAATCCCCACATGGGTACAATGTGTGAAGCTCATTTCTGGTGTTCCCCGCCGTGATGTTGCTGGAATATGGCTAAAAGCGGCGTAAAACCAAACTCACTCTGTCAGTCAGTCTTTGACCATTAGGTTAGGGCAAGTAAAGTGAACTGTTTTGTTCTACATCACAACTTCTACTCCATATTTCAGAATTGAAGAATGACATCATTTGACAGCTCTCTGGAGATCATTGATGTGACATATTTATTGTGTATATACATAAATAATTTGTTCATCTTACCATGCCCATGACCCAGTCTAAGTAAACTTAGGCTCAGTATTATTCGTTACACTGCTATACTGAGTCTAACAAACCCTAGTGGAAGGTCGCATCAGCTAACCTTTTCAATTGACCAATCAGAACACAGCTTACCAAATTGTGAAAGTTGACATTTGAACTTACCTTTTGAACTTTTTCCTTGAAAAGTTTGTACCTGAATGATTCCGAATGCTATTTTCCGTACAATTGCTTCTGAGTGATGCACATGGAGCATGCCACAACAGTGAGTAAACAGTCAATGAAAATAACGTTTTTGTCAGTATTCAAGGATGTCAGCTTGCGGAAATATTAGCTGATAGCAACCATGTCATCAGAAAGCCCCAAGCGTATATACTGCAGGTCAAATATCTATGTTTTAAGCAGATTTTCATTTGTTGAGAGATCAGTGTCAGTGACCGGGGAATTTTGTAAGTCCCTCCGAACCCTAACAGTAGCCGTTGTCTGATTGGTTAAATCCGTTCGGCCATCTCGCATTTGATTGGATGGTCATAGGTCGCTCAAAGTTTACCTGACGCGACCTTCCACTAGGGTTAGTTAGACTCAGTATAGCAGTGTAACGTATAATACTGAGCCTAAGTTTACCTAGACTGGCCCATGACCATGACATCTGCGGAAAGTTAATGATCATCTCATGTATTGACAGTACTTTAAAAGCATGTTTCCTAACAAATTATTTGTATAAGATGGTTCTGTGTAGGTAGTCTAGTGTTTGAATATAGTGGTTATTTCAAATCATTCCTCACATGGGTAGAATCTATGAAATCTTTTGCTGTTGTCACACACTGTCACTCTTTTAATATCGCAGGGTAAACACCGCTCTCGCTCTCTCATCCACTCATTCACTCACAATCACTAACACGCACTTTCCCAAGGTTTGTTTTTCTCCAAATACTTTCTACAAAATGTCCAAACTAAATATTGTCAACATGTTTGCTCCAGATTCAAAGCCCTATGAACAGGAAGTCCATAAAGGACGACAATGTTGATGCACCATCACCAAGATTTGCCCTGCTGGAATCTGTGTCTGGCAGGTTTGAACAGAACAGGAGAGAGAGAGAGGAACGAGTAAGATGGCAGCTTAGTACAGATTCATACTCAGATGACGTATATAAAGAAGACAATTTTTCCTTATCCTGACTCATGCTATTTTGCTTATCTCCTTCCTCTATTCCAATGGTAGTGGAACACTTGAGTCCCTTGTAGTCCCCTAAAGCGAACGTAAAAGTTCTCTCACCCACTAGTTGCCTCCCTTTTCCCGCGCAAACAGTCATGTGACCTGTCATACTTGCCACTCTCTCCTTCATCGCCCAAGTGGATGGTTGGGCGAGCACTGGAGTCCCATATATGTTACCATATCTTTTAATATTTAGATCCTTTTATCCAAACTCAGCTGTGTATGGTTTTTGGTTATATTTAGCTTCATTGTATGTCAAAACTTTGGAGGAATTATTCGTATTTTGTGACATATTTTATCACAAAGTAGTTTGTTTACATTTGATGAAATCTTGCAGTGTTTGCAGGTACCGGCTATCACTGGCTGATCCTCACCCCCAATGCCTGTCATGCATTAATCCATGTTCTTCCAGCTTACGTTGCAGATATTGTATAATTTATCAAATTTGCAATTTAATCAATACTTGTCTTACATCTATAGACGTGCGATGGACTGGGTGAGGAAGTCATCTCAAGTCACTGGTGATAAATCCGGAGATAATGCCGGTAACCGTATGTTGTTTACTACTGCTGAAATACATAACTCAGGTGATTTGCCGAATACGTTACAGGGGCACTCATCTGTTGCTGTTCGAGACTTACCTGGGTCTAAGAAGAGGTCTGCTTCGACTGAGTCAGCGACATACCATGCAGAGTAAGAAGATTTCCTCATTGTCTGTCTTCATATAGAACCTCGTCAAAGTCAACTCGTTCCAGTAAGACAACACATCAGAGAGCGTTTAATGAAGACATTGTGCCTCCTGATGAAGCAGACATTTTGCTGACCCCACAGGCGATTTGCGGAGGAACCTGCGCAACTACGACAGCTGGCGACGCACCATCTCTCAAAAGAAGGTTAGCACGGGTAGAAGGAAAGGTTCAGCAGCCTACAACACAGAAAGGAAAGGTTTGCAAAAGGAAGGTTCGCGAGAGCACAGTTCAACAGACCAGGAACTATCTGATGAAGAGGTAGACTACGTCTTTTCGGAAGCAGAGGTCACATCTTGGATTGCAAATGGATTGGACTTGGCGTCCCCCTCCAAGGAATCAGATGAAGCATTCACATAGAAGATGTGGAAGGATGACTTCGACACCCTCACGATTCCACCAATTGAACTGATCTCCAAGGTGTCTGCAAACCTCTGTACAGCGTTTGAGAAAGCAACCCGGTATCAGAATCAACATTTACCAACGTTCAACGCGAGGAAGTTCCCTCTGCATCATATGGACCCCTTCATGAGAGCGCCGGACTTAGACGACATGAAGTTGATCAACGACTCCCGTAACAAGTCTTATAAGGTGGAAGACAAAAAAATTGCTCAAGATAGAAGGCCTGGTGAGATCTAGAGCGATCAACGAGACGTTGATTTCCAGATTCCAGAACCCCAAGACGGAAGAGGATAGGATGATCCTATCAGCACTGTTAACTCAGACGAAGGACCAGCACTTCATGTCTGATCACTTGGCCTCAACGTCGGTAGGTCTCACACTATTACGTGGACATGGTCTACTATCGTCATGTTCCTGGAGTGACAGATTTACCCAACCACTACTAAGAGTCCTTGGGCGGAGCCTACTATCTTCGATGGGGAGATTGATGAAGCTGCTAAGGAAGCCACACATGATTCCAGAGAAGTTATGATGATCAAGTCCATAGACACATTGGCCAACGTCATTTGTCAAACATCACAGAGGTACAGCAACAAGTCAATGTTCCCCGGAGTGCAGAAGGCAAAGGAGAAGATATACTCCAGCTTCAGAGGCAGGAAGAGCTCTTTTCGTCGCCTATCAGGAACAGCAGGGGAAACTCTGGGAGAGGACGTGCTCCCAGAGGTTTCAGAAGATCTAGACATTGAAGATGGGGACGTCTCACAAGTACTGCAAGAAGGTTACAGAGTGCAGCTGAAGGCCACCGTTGACGGTAGTCTTCAACTAACCCCTCGACCAGGCAGAGAAGCTTCAGCCATCAACTCGCTATTGACCAAGGCAGTAGAAGTGATAGATCAACAATCTCACACCCGGCTTCACTCCCCAATTGCCATTGGCAAGAAGAACTCCAAAGAGAAGTTGAAGTTGATATACAAATGAAGTGATTCAACCAAGGCTATCTACTCAAGCCAGAGAGATTCAAGATGATCCACCTGCCTCAACTCAGACAACTCGTCTGTCCAGCAGATTACTTGGCCAGCATAGACCTACAGGATGCATATCTACACATCCCGATTCATCCGGAATCAAGAAAGCACCTAAGATTCCTGTTCAGAGGTCGACACTACCAATGGAGCGTCCTACCGTTTGGAATATTGTCGGCTCCGTAGTTATTCACACAAGTGACCACACTCATCGTCACCTATCTACATTGTCGAGGTCTAAGCAGTGCCTTCTATCTGGACGACGGGATACTAGATCATCAAGAAGCCAATCAACTAAGACAGCAGCTAGACTTCACCATCTGCTCACACAACTGGGATGTCTAGTAAACTTGATGAAGTCAGAGTTGGAACCAGTTCCTGGGAATAAGGTTCATCACAACACAGAATCGTATTGTGGTCCAAGAAGATCGTTGGGTCAAGATTCAAGCCATGATTCCAGAAGCAGTCATCTCTCCATTACCACTAGGAACATTGCAATGTCTACTCGGTCTGCTCACCTCAGCGCAGAACCTGACTCGCACAGGAAGACTACAATTACGTCCGCTTCACCGATTCCTGGCAGGACACCTGGACAGCACGGACCTGATCTCCATACCAGACAGTCTCAAGATATACCTGTTATGGAGGACTCACAAATTGAATGTCTGCGGAGGGATCTATTTACAAGAGCCGGTCTGCGACACACACCTTTACGTAGATGCCTCACTACAAGGATGGGGAGCGCATCTCGACAATGAAGTGGCATCAGGGAAGTGGTCGAAACAAGAACAACATCTTCACATCAAACAACTGGGGATGAAAGCTGTGATCAACGCCATTCAACACTGGTCGAGCCCACTGGTCAACCACATGCTGACGGTTCACACAGACAACTCAACAGTGGCATTCTACATAAACTGGCAGGGATCAACGGGATCACCAAACCTGCTCCAGCTCACATTCCAGTTGTTCAACATCGTAGACGAATTAAACATCTGGCTAAAGGCGTGTCACATTCCGGGAGCCAAGAATGTGCTAGCAGACGCTCTATCTCGCCCACTTCATCTGTCACCCACGGAATGGATGCTCCACCCAGAAGCGTTCCGGCTCATCATCAGGGAAATAGGATCTCCCTCCATGGACCTGTTCGCCACAAGGTTCAATAAACAACTACAGACATTCGTCTCACCGGTACCAGATCCCCAAGCCTGGACAACAGGCGCACTGAGCATGTCATGGGAAGGACTAAACGCATATGTGTTTCCACCTCCAGTTCTACTATCGCAAGTACTGCTGAAGATCAAGCAGACCCGAGTGCTACAACTGACTTTGGTCGCGTCCTACTGGCCAGCGAGAGTCTGGTTTCCAGTCATACATCCACACGGAACCAACCCTGAAGCACCAGAATGGCGAACCTGCTAACATTCCAAGTTCACGGGAACCCACTAATGTTCCAGCTACACTTATGGACCATATCAAGACTTGCTTGAAGAAAAGAGGGTACTCTACCAGAGCAGCAAAAGCAGTAACTCTAGCTCTACGCAGATCAACTTGTACGACGACAAGTGGCAGAGATTTGAACAGTATGCAGTGCGGAAAGGCTTCACAGCAATGAAAGCAACTCAAGTGGCGGAATATCTATGTCACCTTAGATATATGAGGCGATTGAAAGGTTCGATGCTATCTACATACCTGGCAGCTATCAGTACAGTCATCACCATGAAGACAGGCATCAAACTGACAAAAGTGCCAGAACTACTTGCTCTACTACGCTCCTTCAAGCTGGAGGACCAGCAGAAGAAATTCAGAGCACCAGCCGAATGTCAGGATCTGAACATAGATTTCTCGGGAGACCGTGCTGCAGTACATCTAGGACTTAGATTGGACCAGAATCAGTTACCTGGCCAGCCGGACAGACAGTTCCACCTCCCAGCACTATCTACGATCCTCGGACCAGAGGACACCCAGGACTCATCCTTGTGTTCTGTCAGAGCCCTGTAATATATCTTCAAAAGAGTTAAACAAGGAGAAGAAAATTCAAGCGCCTATTCATCCCCTTTTCACCAGAGACGTCTACAGAAGTCTCAAGAACGACAATATCATTTTGGATGAGAGCCGTTATACTGAGGGCCTACAAAGCAGCAGGACTAGAACCTCCAAGAGCTTCCAACCCACACGAAGTCAGAGCACTGGCGTCAACACTAGCTCTGCACGGAAACTGCTTGATATCATCAATCATGGAGGGCTGCTTTTGGAAGTCAGACGCGGTGTTTGCCAACCACTACCTCAGAGACATTGCCACTGAAGACGTCTCCAGCATTCACCAGTTTGGGCCACTTGTTGTAGCACAACAACTAACGGTTCCACAAAGGCGCAGAATTGGAAATCTCACCCTTTATCACGTTGACTTGTTGATAACCCTTACTCTGGAGAGTTGTGGTTGAAAGTCCATGCGCACCGTCTAGGCTAGACTAGCATGAGTGATTAAGACTCTGTACGGGTAACGATCTTACCTGTACATTAAGGGGTCGCAACTCATTATGGTAACGATCTTATCATAATCTCTGGGTTGTTTATAGATAACTAGTAAGAAGAAGATACTAGTATATCTAAAAACCAGGTGAATCTAAGAGATTCTCTTGTCTTAGAGAAGTCCCCCAGCGGAAGTTGGAAGAATAGGATCTAGGAAGTGCCGTTACGCAGTTCCCAATGGGGGGATACAGGACGTATCTAAGGACAACTGAGGAATCCACGAAGTGGCTTGACCCACCACCAATTCCGCTGGATTCTGGAAGCATATAAGCATGAGTTAGGATAAGGAAAAATATGTAATTTTTAAAGTAAATTGATATTTTATACTTATCCTGACTCATGGTGTCAAGCCCTCCCAACCTCCACGCTGAAGACACTCCGGGTTCCCAGGAAACCCAGGTGCTAGGGCTTATTCAGGAGAGAGTGACAAGCATGGCAGGTCACATGACTGTTTCCGCGGGGAAAGGGAAGCAACCCGTGGGTGAGTGAACTTTTACGTCCTCTTCAGGGAACTACAAGGGATTCACATGTTCCACTATCATTTGCATAGAAGAAGGAGATAAGCATATAAGCCTGAGTCAGGATAAGTATAAAATATCAATTTTATCCAGAAAATTACATTTTTATTGATGCTTGTGGTCATATCCCAATACTCTATATTACAAATATTTGTGTTGCAATCATAATATCTAGAACTGTCCAAATGAAGGGCTATAAAAGCTAACAAATTCACTAGCTACACTTTGTTTATGGGGTGTAACAGATGGCACAGTCATCTGATGCCCAATAATTCACTTACCTACTTTTTGGCATGCCATAAATCTATGATTGTGCTTTTTAATCCTAGATTCACTCTCATTATGTTTCTAGGTTTTTAGAACCATAATCATGCTCCAAAGTTTCACTACAGTGTTAATATATAAGACCTGCATCCCTTCCTGCTTAGGTCCATGTCAAGCTGATATGTCATGATATGCCTTTAATATTATCCACAGAAGCATTACAGATGCTCTCTCATTCACTTTCATTAGAAATGTTGTACAACAATTTTTAGTCCGCTTATGATTCATATGTGTATTTGGTGAACTGAACCATATCCCTCCATGAATTAAATTTGTTATTCATGGTCAGTAGAATCAAAATTAGACAAGTATTTTTTAAAGAGTATCTTTTAGTTGGAACTCGTCTGTTATTTATCATGGTGAAATATGCTTTATGGAATGTATATGTCAGGGTAGAGATGCGATCTGGTAGAATAGATTCTACCAGTAGAGATGTGATCGAGTCTCTACCGGTCTCGAGTCTCTACTGGTATCTCTGATCCTACAGTAGGTGAAAGTCTCTATAGAGACTAAGATTATATGGAATAACCTATGCAAGCAAAGTATAGTAAGTGGGGATAATGAACTTATTTATCTTGTTAACTTTAGTTGTTAAGTCTGTTTTGGAGTAAAATTTTGTTTTTGTTTTTGAGTGGAGCTATGCCAGACAAAGCCCTGAGTACTGTCATTAGGATTTTAGCTCTTTTGCTCTACAAAAAAATATTCAAGTTTTTCTACCTAAGTAGTTTCATGACATGTCTGTTATCTAAATTCCTTGATGTTAAAGCATATAGTAAATATTCATTACCCTATATTTGTGAATCATGCCATACAACTCATAGTGTATTCATGGAAGCCCTAATGATTATGAATTTTTGTAAAGATTAATCGTATGAGGAACAGACAAGAGGCTGAGAAAGCTCACTCCCTGTATCTAAAGCTCAATGTGTCATCTCCATATGAGCTACAACAAGCACGACATGTGGCTGAATCCTGGGCCAAGAGAAACGGTGAGATCTACACTCTTTGTTTTGTGTTAGTCCCACAGTTTGAATTCAACAGACACATTGGTGTGTGTGTGTGTGTGTGTGTGTGTGTGTGTGTGTGTTGTTTGTGTGTGTCTTTAGGTGTTCATTTTCCTCATTCATAATAAGAAAAGTGACTTAAGTGTGATTGAACAAAAGCAAGTTTGTGAAATGTTTAGCTAGTGAAATGGTAAATTTTTAAAACTTATCCTATCTCACGGTTTGTCTCTCTCATGACGAACTGTAAACAAAGTTTTTGGCCTCTCTTGTACCATTCACCCGAACATGCCCCCTGCTCCCATTCCTGGATAGCCTCTAGCCTCTGTTTTTGTGTGTGTGTTTAGATGTTCATTATTCCCTTGGCATGTAATGCGGGGGGATATAGTCAACGCCTCGTCTGTCCGTAATCATTTTGTTTCCAGAACATAACTCTAAAACCGTTCAATATTTTTCAACAAAAATTGGTAGATATATCAGACAGAACCTAAAGTGGTGCCTTTTGCCATTTGCAGTTTTAAGCATTTTAATTTTTCCTGGTTTTCATGAAAACGATTCCGACTTAGTCTCAAAAGGGAGGGATGGGTTTCGTTTCTGGAACTTGAAAACCTTTCACTATCTTTCTACAAGACTTGGCAAACATATCAAACAGATTTTGAAGTTGTTCCTTTTGCTATTTGCAGATTTTTGGCGTTTTTATTTTTCATGATTTTCATGGAAACAATTTGGACTTAGTCTTAAAATAATCGGGCGGTTGGGTAGCCTAGTGGTTAAATCGTTCGCTCGTCACACCGAAGACCCAGGTTCGATTCCCCACATGGGCACAATGTGTGAAGCCCATTTCAGGTGTCCCCCGATATGTTATTGCTGGAATATTGCTAAAAACGGCGTAAATCCATACTCACTCACTCACTCACTCTTAAAAAGATCAAGTTGGATTTTAAGTAACGCTCAGATGATGTTTCTTTCAAATACTGGGGCCGGGGGGATTCGTCACCTTCTGATGGCTCTTGTTTCTCATTTATTATAAGAAAAGTGAATCAAGATTGGCACACTTGGGACCTTTTTAGCTGTCTAAACCTATCTCAGGGTTTTGTAAGACCATGTAGAACTTATAACTCAATGAAAAGATTCCTTTGTGGCTCCGTCCGTCCGTCCGTACGAATTGGAATATCTTAAGAACCATTGACTAGATTCTTTTCATATTTGGTACGTAGGTTCATCACAGTATAAGAAAGGTCCAAGTCTGGTTTGGTGACCTTGACCTTCATTTCAAGGTCACAAGGGGACTTTAACGTTTTACCTGCATGTTAAGCTATCTCAAGAACCGTTCACTGGATTTTCTTCATATTCTATACGAAGCTTTGTCTAGGGGAGGCGCAGGGCCCAGTCGATTGTGGTGGCCTTCACATAATTTTCAAGGTCATGGCGACACTTTGAAGATTTCAGTATGATAGCCTGCATGTTTAGCTATCTCAAGAACTGTTCACTAGATTTTCTTCATATTCAACACCAAGCTTTATTTTGGGAGGCGCAGGGTCCAGTCAATTTTGGTGACCTTCACATAATTTTCAAGGTCATGGTGACACTTTGAAGATTTCAGCATGTAAACCTGCATGTTAAGCTGTCTCAAGAACCGTTCACTGGATTTTCTTCATATTTAACTCAAAACTTTGTCTAGGGAAGGCTCAGGGCCCAGTCAATTTTGGTGACCTTCACTTAATTTTCAAGGTAACAGAGACACCTTGACTATTTCAGCACTTAAACCTGCATGTTATGCTTGTCAGCGAGATACCTCAAGAACCATTCACAGGAGTTTTTCATATTTGACACCAAGCTTCATCCAGGGAAGGTGCAGGGCCCAGTCGATTTTGGTGACCTTCACTTTATTTTCAAGGTCACAGAGACACTTTGAAGATTTCAGCATGTTAAATTGCATGTTAAGATAGTCATCAAGATATCGCAAAAAATATTCACTGGATTTTCTTCATATTTGACACCAAGCTTCATCTAGGGAAGGCCCAGGGTGACCTTCACATAATTTTCAGGGTCACGACGACACTTTGAAGATTTCAGCATGTTAACCTGAATTGTCAGCAAGATATTTCAAGAACGGTTCACTGGATCTTCTTCATAGACTTTCAAGACTTCCCTTGAATATTTTTCAATAAGCAATTTCTTTAGTACTATTTTTGCATATTTCATACACTATGACATTCATGTCAAGGTCAAAGTCAGTCTTGAAAATATATGTGTGTTTGAACAACTAAAGAGCAAGATATCAAGAGAGGTTGACTGGTCATGTTTTTGTTGACATTTAACTTCATCTTAAACTTTCATTACTTTATAAGTTTGATTTGATAATTTGCGGCGAGGGGATTATGTCACCTTAGTGACAATGCTTGTTCCACTTCAGGTAGACAACGACCGCTGATGACTGAACGCCAGCGTCAAGTGCTGCAACAAATTGAAACTGTAGACAGGAGTAACAGACGTTCCCAGCGACTTGCATCACCTCCATCCCTGAATATATCCAACAATGCCAATGACTACACTGAAACTTGTCCAATCATTGGGTGTCAAGTCAAGTTCACAAATCAGCAGGATCATGAAATGCATGAACGTCATTTTGAACATTCCCCCTGCAATCCCCTGCTACAGATGCCCAATGGCTGCCTGCCAGATCATCCTCTAGGGTTTGTGTGCCCGAAGTGTGGAGAAAGTTTTCAGGTGAATATTTCCATGATTAAGAACCACGTGGAGATGCTTCTTGTATGAGTCAATTTTGTGAGTCAGACTTGGTAATGATGTCACTCACTGGATTGTCTGGTCCAAACTTGATTGCTAACAGATCTCTGTCATATAGTTGGATGTCATTTTCCAAGATTTCCAGTATTTACTGTACTGGTGAACCTACCATAATCTGCTTAAGAAAAACAGGTATTGTGTCTGTGATGCAAAAACATTGACCATATGATTAGGACTCCATTACTGTTTTCAGCGAAAGATTGAATGTCAAGAGCACATGGTGATGTCAGACCACCTAAGTCTCTTCTCCCCGCTGCCCGTGAGTGCCTACATGTGTCCACAGTGTCTACTCTTCTTCCCGGAGAAGATGCGCTGCCACAACCACATGGAGGAGCTCCACCACTTCGAGGTGGCCTACCCTTTCAATGGTGAGACAATGTTGACACTCTGTCATTGTGGGAAGAGTTTGGATAGACAGTAAGGTGCAAGTCAGAAGGGGGATTTTGTTGTTCAGGGTCCACTTGTACAAAGTAATCGTAAATCTCATACAATAACATAGGCTTACAACTGTCGTAGCACTAAGAGTGCTTTGTGCAAGTGGATCCAGACTTGCTGCAAAAAAGCTACAAATGTGCTGATGCTATTTGAGCTTTCTTGTTCACCCAATTAAAAAGAGAACTTTACCTCTTGTAGGAATGAGCTATCCACACCATACAACTTGTTGCTCTGAAACTTGTTCCATAGTGCCATTTAATTTTACCATTTTCACTATAAGTTAACCTCAAGTCACTCAAAAGACACTTTGAACCCACTTCAGATACTGACACAAACCCAGGGATTGGGAAAGGCAGGGGCCATGGGCCATTTTGCACATTAGTATACAAAATGGCCCATTAAGATTTTGAATTTTCTCTATCCCAATCCCTGCAAACCCTTCCGATTTCTTCCCCAAACTATCCCAAACATAACCCAGAACCTACTTTAAGGCTACTCAAGCTCACATTGCCCACAGTGCCACTACAACTTCGCCTCTTCCATCCACCACTCTCTGATATTTCAAACTGTGGGGGCATAGCTGGCTCAGCCATTGAGGACACCACAATCTGCTGCTCAGAGTTGCATCCCTTGGGCATGCCAGTAACAGATAATCGTGGGATAACATCTTAGTTCATCCCAGTTGTTTCTAGGTTTGGCAACACAATATCGTGCTCATGGGTTTCACCATTTGTTCATCATAGTGGTAAACATGAGGCTTTTCCCCCATATCAGTATGAATCCATTCCATAAGAGACACCTGATATTTCCAGATGATCTCAACACCAATCCATCATCATGTCCAAAGACTGTACCAGTGACACAAGAATTGGCATGTGACTTCATCCAGAAGGTGAAGGCTAGGTGTCCAACCTTCACCTTGACCTGTGTGGAGTGTCAGGTGGTGGTGGAAAATCAGCAGGAGCTGGATCAGCACCGGCGAGAGACAGAAGAGATGCACATGTTCTCATCATCAGCTTCTAGTAACCTGGTAAGAGCATTTAAATCAATTGTATATATATTAATCACTGATATATTTGACAAAGCTTGGGAAGGGTAAGAATATATGGATGCACAACTTTATTACAATTGGAGAAATGTTTTGGTGTATGTGTCTTGAGTGGTGTGGGTGTTTCAGTGTATCACCTACTTGATAACAGTGTTAGAACCTACACTGAAAGATTGCTGATATTGTGATAAAGAAGTTGTTCATCCATATATTGTTATCCTTCCTTTAATACTCCAACTTCCAAATGCCTCTCAAAAAGTTGGACAAACCTTTATGAAGTTTTGTTTCTTTTCTCTTCTTTTTCGTTTAACACAATCTCTTATTTTTCCTCTACTCTCTTCTCTTGTTCTTGTCTCTCTCACTTCTCTTTCACTTTCTCTTCAGTGGGTACAATGTGAAGCCCATTTCTGGTGTCCCCCGCCGTGACATTGCTGGAATATTGCTAAAAACGGCGTAAAACCAAACTCTCCCTGTCTCTTTCTCTTCAGTTTCACTCTGTCAATCTGTTGCCACTTAACAAATCTGCTATTGCGTATTCTCACAAAACCTATTACAGGCGGAAATATTTGCGGAGTACCTTGGGGACAGCACCTGTGATACCTGTCTACAGGTCCTACATACCCCACCATCTGATGGTATCCACAATTGTGGAACTGGCATGCAGGGAGTCAGCATCAACCTCAACTGTAAATCCTTCAACGAGTTTGTACTTCGCTGTGGCCATACACTCCAAATGAATCCTAGTGGGCAGACATTGTCTGCAGAAGGGTCAGGTGTAACTCATCAGCTTAGCTTGGAACCTCCACCCTGTCCACCAGAACCATCTACTTCAGGACTGGCAGGAACCTCTCAAGGTCATGTGGACATTTATTCCATTGCATCAGGATCTTCTCCAGGTGATGTGGAATCTCTGCATCTTGATTCTGCATCTACTACAGCAGGTGTGGACACTCATCTTAGTATGTCAGTGTCTTCTACTCCTGGAGGTGCTGACACTGGACGTCTTTCATCCACATCTTCAGAAGAAAGTGCTTCTTATGTTGATAATGGCAGAAAGAGGTCCTATGATAATGGCAGAAAGAGGTCCTATGATAATGGAAGAAAGAGGTCCCATGTAATCGAAATATCTAGTTCCAGTGAGGATGAGATCTTAAAACTGACTTCATCGGCATGTAAGAGACGTAAAATTAATGCAAAGTCATCATCAAGTGCTAAAAAATCAAAGAAAAGAAAAAAATTGGCATCCAGGAAAAGAATATCTTCGACCAGTGAGAAAAATGAATGTGAAGTTTCAGTTGAAAATGATATCATGTTCTGCAAAGACAACAATGGGAACGATAAACTTAAACCAAATGAGCAATTGGCTTGTTTATCACAAGCAGAACATCTTCAATCATCTCATCAGGCGGCTTTGAAAGAAAAGCTTTCAGCAGATTATATTGCATCATTAGCTCGTAAGGAACACTCGTCTAGCAAACCCTCTGGTGCATCGACTAAATGGCCCTCTCCTTTCACTTGTAACTTGCCAGTCAGGCGTCCTGTGAAAGGTCAGTCCAGCTCATCATCAACCTCTTCATCTTCATCAGAACATCCTGTCAAGACTGACCCTGTTCATCTGTTAACATTTCGTGAACAAGGGCAAGACGCCTGTCCTCAGTCATCAACCAAGCAGTCAACCATTGGTCATGCACTGAGGTCTTCTACAGATGCATCCAAATCTCAGGCAGCAACAGTGAAAAGACCTAACTCTGTCAGCCCTTCCAGATCTTTTGAAGCGTATCCTGACAACCTGGAGGAGATGAATCTGGTTCTGTTTGTGGATCTGGACAATTGGGGCGGTTTCTTCAAGAAACTTCCTCGTAACCTGCCAGAGAAGAGCTTTGTGTGGGGTTTCTATGGAGGGAAGCAACGATGGGTTCCACCAAACAAGTAAGGTTTTGACTTATGGATAATTATTTTTTCAGTTCTATTTGTAGCGCAGCAAAACAACCCTTCAACAAACAACTTCAAAGTGTCATTGAGATACATGAATCGACTCTTTATTAGGACTTGGTTGATTAGGTTGGTCCAGGACTGTATGATCATCAGTGTTTCACAGGTTTCATCACCTGTATGATGTGTAGTAGTTATTATGTCTTCAGTAAGCCAGTCAAATGGGCAGTCAAATCAGCCCAACTCATGGGTCAATCCTACCAATGCTTGCATTAAAGCAGTGTGTAGTGCAGACAGACACACATCTCACATGTTACACACCTTTTAAAAAATAAACATTGCTATTTGTATGAGTTCTCATGGGTCTGAGCAATTGCTCACTTCCATCTCACTGATACCAGTAGCTTATTTTGGAGGGGGGAGCAGTTCACAAGTGTCGTCATACCTTGATTTTGTTCATTATTGTTCACAATAAGAATCACTGGATTGTGTGGTCCATACTTATTTATTTCCTCATTGCTGACAACAGTGTTAGACAATATCATATTTTACCTGCCTCCATGATAAAGCTTTATTGTTGTGGGCTGCTGCTTTATCACTGTTTCTGTCTCTGAAGGAATATGATATACAAGAAACTGGTGAAAAACAACTGTCTGCACATCCATGAGCAGTGTGGTACCAGTAAGGATGCAGCAGATTTCGCAATATGTCTCACAGTGAGTAGCTTCAGTCCTTGTTAAAACCTGTACAATATTGTGATAAAGTATACTACTCAAAACGGTTTAAGGGCCACCCAGTCTTTCATGTTACTCTAGGTAATGTCATGCCATTTTCTCATCTTACTATACAATATACACATGCTATACTTAATTTGTCTAGCCATGACAGTTTGATGAGGGCTGTGTATTATCGATAAATTGTATTGCAATGTACTGCAATTCTGGTACCCATATTACAATACATTTTGCGACGTATAATTAGAAGATAAAGCTACCCTGTTTTCAATTTTGCGGTCCTTTATCGTTGATTTGAGACCGCTAAATTAAACATTTAGCGATCTTAAATCAACGATAAAGGACCGCAAAATTGAAAACAGAGTAGCTTTATCTTCATTCTAGCACGACTGATAACCGTTTTAAAACTGAACTGTTGGGCGCGCAAGAACACAAGGCGTAAAGGGGCCTTTTTCCTGGAAATCGCTTGGAATCGTCCCGTTGAGGGACAGGTTGTGTAATGAACAAAAAAAGACATTTTCAACAACATAAATGCTATATTTCAGGTACCAGTATGCTTGTATTTGTAACAAGTAGCATACCAAAAAAATACAGTTTATACTGTGAGCAAGTACAATTATTTGATTTTTCTCAAGCGAATTATTGATCTCCCCTACTGTATGACAATCGACTCGCCCAAATGCAAGCCGTGAACTCGCTAAGTTTAGTCGTCGCTAACTTTATTTACGGAAATAATTGTTGATAACCACCCTACTATTCCCAATTTGGAAAAGACCTGACATGACACGTTTTATGTGGGATACATGGACAGTGGAAGTGGAAGGACTGGGCATTACGGCCGGGACGGAAGCGGTCAGGTTAGGACATGTGGGCCGACTCAACACACGTAGATCTGGACCCGCTTTGAATATATACTGCCGCTTTTGCACTGCTGACAGATTTTCCAGCTTCATAGTTTCTTCACTGGGATTAGCATCAAGAAATTCTTCTTCAAACCATTCGGTTTTTACTTCAAAAACACCAAAGATGCTGCCGAGATAGAAATTGCCGATGTCCGACATGTTTGTTTACAAACAGTAGGGTCAATGAGTTCGTTGTATTCATACGCGGTGAATCGGTAACTTTAATTAGCGGTCCTTAAACTGTCATTTAAGTATGGTTTTGATGAGCTCTCAGCCAATCAGAATCGAGTATCACACATTGTCGTACCCATATTACAATACATTTTGCGACGTATAATAGTGTATAATGTTAGAAGTATACAATGAAATTTTAGCTTTGACCTTAGCTGTATGTGGATAATGTGGTCACTGTAAGTTTTCCCAAGCAGCCATGATATGCATAAAGCTGAAAATGGCCAAAAAAAGGCTTCATCTCAGGGAACAACATCAAAGAGAAAAGTTATCTGATGTTATGTTTCTGAAGAAAAAACTTCTACCTCGATTCTGTAAATTCACAGGTAGGGAAGATGGATGAGCGGCTACCCAAGCACATACCATTCACAATACTGTCAGGGGATAAGGGCTTCCTGGAAGTGGAGAGACAGATGAAGATGTCATCACGCAAGATGGTTGTCATTGACCCTCACAATGCTGAACAGCATGACAACGAAGTACTGTACGCCATGATTATCAGCTTGGCCAGTAACTAACAATATTTATGGGAGAGTGTCAGTGTGGACTGGTACTGATGAGGATGTAATACTGAACACCCTGATCTGTGTTCCTAATTGTGCAGCGAAGTCAAAGGGGACTTACCCAAAAATATAAAAGTATAGGGCTCGAATGACTCTCCAGATTAGAAAAAAACACAGGAGAAGGCATTAAGGACTCACAGACCTCACAGATCCCAATTGAGTTAAAACATCTCTGGTTATTTGGTTAATGCCATTCTGTGCAGGATTGTGTTCCCTACCCTTGCTGTGATGAGTTGGTTGTGGGGTATGAATCTGAAGTTCACTCATGTAGTGATCTTTGCTCAGCAATCCTGAACCTTGTCAAATTTTACATCTAAACCTCAGGCCTTCCTATCTGTCGGAATGAAAAGACCACAAATTGGAACAATTTACGCGATTATCGAGTATAGAGCAATTGAATGCGTTACATAGCTCTCAAATTTGAAAACAAAGCCGTAATTATCGTTAAGAAAGCAATTTACATTGGATACACACGGTTGTATGCATAGTCAGCTAACGACTGTAGTTAATTCCAATTTTATACGCTTTCGTTTCACATTTATATGCAGTTACATCGCATATGAGTTCTTTACAACCAATGTGTGTGAAATCTCAGCCCATTGTCTTCTTTTGTTTCCGATAGATAGGAAGGCCTGAACCTGCATCGCCATGGCTCATTATTTTAAAGCTGTGTATCAAACAACTGTAGTAGACCGAAATAAAGATTATGTTTGTCTTACAGATGTAACTGTCCAAAAGGTGAGTAGTTGTTCAGTACTTTAGAAACACAAAGGGTAGTTGTGTACGTCTAACAATTACGTCAAATACAAGGTAGTCAATAGTCTTATCTCTCAACAAATGTTTAGTTATTTGTTAAATCACATGAACAAAAGAACTAACCAACTCCCGGTTCTTTAATCTGTTTATGTCAAACAAATTGACAACTATAAAGAAGTGTAGTCTATTGTCAAGCAATTGTTTAGTTATTAAGTCCTGTCCAGTTACTGGAATCTAAACAGCACCAGCATATGGATTCACTTGATTTGGAAGTTTTTTTGCTTTTTGTTTTGTTTTCATGATGACAATTTCCTGAAAATGAGGGTAGTCTTTTGTCTGGCACAGGAGTCCAAAACTATTGAATGTTCCCAGATGAAACTTGCTTCACAAAACAGACTAGTGGTGAATTAGGGCCTTTTGATGATTTGAAATATAGAGCAGCAGCATTATTTTTCACTCAATTTGACCCGTGAAGATCCGGGCTAGAATAGGTCTTCAGCAACCCATGCTTGCCACAAAAGGCGACTATGCTTGTTGTAAGAGGCGACTAACGGGATGGGGTGGTCAGGCTCGCTGACTTGGTTGACACATATCATCGGTTCCCAATTGCGCAGATCGATGCTCATGCTGTTGATCACTGGATTGTCTAGTCTAGACTCCATTATTTACAGACCGCCGCCATATAGCTGGAATACTTGCTCTAGCTATGTGATATGTCTTACAAGATAAGTCAGCGCATGAGTGATGCGATTCAGTTTCGAAAAATAGCCCCTTTCTTAACATATGGATCAATAGAATCCAGAATTCTCAGCATGTCCTCAAAATCCACAAAAGCGTAACATTTACTTCTTTTATTTCGATAAGAGAAGGTGGTTCCCGCTCACTAGTCGCAGAAGAACGAAGAAGAGTTCCCAGGGGGTATATGATCAGCAGCCACATGGAATCCAGATAGGTGGCTGACCCACCACCTGTCCATCCGATTCAAGCAATGAGTATGAGTCAGGATAAAGGAAAATATGTAATTTTTATGACAAAATTGACATTTTATACTTATCCTGACTCATACGCTGAGGGCCCTCCCAGCTGTCCCTTCTCACCACTATCTGGCCTCCCTGCAAGCCTTGGTGGGGGCAGATTTCTGAGAGAGTGACATTAGGTCACAGGTCACATGGAACAAATGGCGGGAAGGAGGCAAAGGGGCCCGGTTTGCGTGAGTGATTTTTTTTCTTACTGTTCTTGTGAACATAGGGATAGAGGTTTCCACTCAACCTTCGGAAGGAAAGGGGGATAAAGCAATAAGTATGAGTCAGGATAAGTATAAAATATCAATTTTATCAAAAACATTTCATTCTTTAATACTAGCAGCTAAAACCCAACCAACAGCAAGTTTGTTATAACATACTAAAGGACAGAAAACAATTGTTCTGGAAAACAGTTGCTGATATTTCTCCTTGACCTTCAAACAGTTGACCAAACAAACACTGAGATGAATTGTTCTAAATGGATATTAAGATAATGGACAGCTTAACATATCTTGCCCAGGTTATTTCCTAAGTAGACATAGATTACAACATATAGCACTACTCAAAACGCATGACCTTCATGAGAAAAGTACAGATTTGGTTCTGTGCCATGTTCCTGTGAGACAAACCTACTGTCATTCATAGCATGAGTTTCAGTGTATTAGACCACATTACTATTGCCTTTGAATAATGAATGTTTTGCTGTCTTTTTTTTGTACTAAACAAAAAATAGCCCCAAGCTAAATTCAAGCTGCCTGAAGCTAATAGGATGTGCCTGAAATGCTGTTCCAAGGTCAGGTAAAGCCGACCTCGCTGGGACAGCATGAGAGCAGGAAATGGTTTTGTTCAGCTGATTGTTTATGATTGTTGATCAAGATGAAGAGGCATTCTTGAAAATTCTTACAGGTCTCACATCACAATAAGGCTTCCCTTGACATTTACCCTATTTACATGGGTTGATGAACCCTTGATGTTTGTTTATGTTCCCTGAGCCCGAAGGGCGAGGAGAACATAAACAAACTTTGAGGGTACATCAACCCATGGGCCCGAGGCACCAGTGAACAACGTATTTATCTTACCGAACACCTTAATGTTAATTTTGAATTGTTTGAAGCACGGGTACAAATCTGTTTGTAGCCATCGCTAGATTTTGCTGACAAGAAAAACAGATTTAGAGTTATCTCCCTTCCATCGATTTGCATTCGCAAAACATCGGTAATTTCCGTACATCATACGTGATTCAATGTTATTCCAGATAAAGAATTACTACCACAAGTACCAAATGAGTTGCCATTGACAGCGGGGTACATCGCTTGTAAGCGGGGTACATTGAAAATAATAGAAGATCGCTCAGCCAATCAGAAAGCGACATTTATGTGTGAGGTAAGATAAAAAGTAATATGAAAGAATAGGGTGTTCCTTAATGTATTTTTATTAGTAAATGAAGCAATGAAGATATTTTTCTTTTCTTTTAAAACATACAGGGCCAATCATTAATATTCATATTTAGAGTCAGAATGTCGCATTTGACTTGTTTTTTTTTTTCAGTTTTGTGTTTATATGTTGACAGATGAATACAGTGAGCATATTGCGTGTTACCATCTTGTCCTGTGACCGTCAGGATCAGCATTTTCTGAACTTGTTACTAAAATATTGCATTAAATATTTGATTTTTTGTCACATTTCTTCTTGTGTCTAAGTTATGACTTCAAACACTGAGTACAGACTTCTCTTGGAGCCCTTGGTGAGTATTCCTGGAAGGGTAGGTTCCAAAACCTCCAGATCTGTTGTGAGAGATGATTAATGAGAATAGGTGGTCGCCACTAGTCCTTAGCTCAAGACTTGTGACAACCCAGAGGAAGTGGCTCGTTTGTTTAAAACAGGGGTTAGTTTACATTAACCATTAGTCCAAAATGTGGCCAGAGTTGTCTACCCCAATGCCATGTGTGACAGTGTGTGAACAACCCTCAACAATTTTTAGGTTTGTTTTATCTCACTCAGGTCCTTTTCTTTACAAACAGCTGTAATATAGAGTGTATGTCAGATTGCTGCATAAATCATTTCCTCACTTCCCAATGTAGCAGCCATAAAACGTCATGCTGGGATTCGAAACACAGACCTTCTGATCTGAAATTGAATACCTTGTCCACATGACCAAAGAGGTTAACCCCGTCAGCAAGCTGACAAGGTAAGGATGTCATATGTATGATGATTCCATGCCTTGCTACATACTCAATCGTGAACAGAAGGCATTTCCCCAGGGGCATAGGAGGGTACTGAGGCTTATTTTGCTCAAATTCCATATGAACATACTCAGAGTCACATTGAGCGCCAATGCAGCGGACATAAAATTTTCGAATCCTGTGCTGGGATTCGAACCACAGACATTCTGAACCAAAGTCAGACACCTTGTCCACATGACCAAAGAGGTTAACCCCTTCAGAAAGCTGACACGGTAAGGATGACTCCATGCCCTGCTACACTAACTTGTGACTAACTGTTGATGTTCTATAGCCTGTTTCTATATTATAAGATTACATGTGATGATATACTTTACCTTTACATACTAGTGGGGGCAGTGGGGTAGCCTAGTGGTTAAAGCGTTGGCCCATCACGCCGAAGACCCGGGTTCAAATCCCCACATGGGTACAATGTGTGAAGCCCATTTCTGGTGTCCCCTGCCGTGATGTTGCTGGAATATTGCTAAAAGCGGCGTAAAACCAAACTCAGTCAGTCAGTTTACATACTAGTTATAAGACAACATCTGTGATAGTCTAGTTATTTTAGACCTTTGATGACTGGATTTTATAATAATAACTTTGATTTACATGTAAGGTTTTGTAGTCATGGTATGGCTGAAATACTGCTGATGTGACTCTAAACTATAACTCACTCACTCACTCATAATGACACATTGTTTACCGGGTGGTTGAAGCATTCAATTGTCAGGCCAAAGACCTAGTTTTGATTCAAACATGGGTTTGACACCCACAGCAGAGCCATTGTGTACCCTACTGTGACATTGATGGAATATTGCTAAAAGTGATGTAAAAACATACTCTCTCACATAATTGTGTCTCGACCTGGAAGCCAGGGACTGAATGATGATGATGAAGGATGGTCCATGCCATCCCATTCAGTGACACTCGGTCATCCAAGCCACTTAACCACATGGTCCTCTTCAGTCTGCTCTTCCGAAAAACAAGAGATAGCTGGGTCTTCTTCCCTAACTTCACAACATTGATCTTAAATCCACTCACTCACCCTCAACCCATTGAAAAACTGTAGGGAGGGATGGCATGACCATATTTACCTGTAGGGATATCTGAACACCAACTCCACTTCCAGACCTTAGTGAAAGAATTAGAAGGAGTCAAACTCGAGTCAGGAATGAGTTTAGCATATCTATATTGCCTCTTCTCTTGAAATTTAGCCAGTCTCACAGTCCCTGAATCGTATATTGTACCTTTTGCTCTGCCCATTCTGTAAGGTACAGCCTTAAGATAAAGTTGGGAGGGTTCACTCCCAAAAGACAGACCTCCCATAAGACAGACTCAATGAGTATACTAATTAGCTGAGCCATGCTGTCCACCCCTATTTAATTAATGAGCTGACCCAGAGTCACTACAGATTATAGTAACAAAACACACCTATCTCCTGTGCCCCTCAAAACAGTACTAATCCTTTTACTGAATAGAACCGAAATTTTATTCTCAAATTTCACATATAGTGACAGAACATACAACATATTGATACATATTATAACATTGAACAAAGTCCACTTTTTTCCATGACTTTTTTCCGATCACCCTTCTAGATGGCTACCTGTATGCCTAGAACAAGGTGAAAGGAAAAAATGATGATGTTCAAGTGACTTTCTGATAAGTCTTATCTGTGCACTGACAAACATGTGTTGTAAAATAATATGGTAATTGGTCTCATATGTTTGTTTGGTACATGTATA